TAAATGAAGAGCCCGGGCCAGATCTTGGTTTCTACTCCCCCAGAAAGTTCACCATCCACTGAATCAGAATTCTGCTCCATTATAGATGAACAGGGTCTGGCTTTTGCCTCTTTTTAAATCCTAGCAGTGGTACCTGATAATTCAGTGTGTTTTTCAGAATGAGGACCCTGCCATCTCTTTCCATTCTCCCTCCCTGAGGGTTGAATCCCTGAGTTTGTCTATGAGCATGAGCCTCCTAGAGACTTTCAAGATTTCCGAGTTTCTAAGTCAGCTTCAGGCCAGGCTTGGAATCTTTATCACTTTAAAAAATAACTTTTATTTATTGGCTTCCCTGGTGGCTCAAAGGTTAAAGCATCTGCCTCCAATGTGGGAGACCTGGGTTCGATCCCTGGGTTGGGAAGATCCCCTGGAGAAGGAAATGGTAACCCACTCCAGTATTCTTGCCTGGAGAATCCCATGGACGGAGGAGCCTGGTAGGCTACAGCCCACTGGGTCGCAAAGAGTCAGACACGACAGAGCGACTTCACTTTCACTTTCACTTTATTTATGTGTTTATTTTTGGTGGGGCTGGTCTGAGTTGCTGCCGCAGGCTTTCTCTCGTGGCAGTGAGTGGGGCCACGCTGTAGTTCTGGGACACGGCTTCTCATCGCGGCGGCTCCTCTTGTTGTGGCTCATGGCTCTGGGGCATGTGGACCCAGGAGTTGTGGCACACGGGCTTAGCTGCCCCACAGCATGTGGAATCTTCCTAGACCAGGGATCGAACCCACGTCCCTTGAATTAGCAGATGGATTCTTAACAACTGGGCCACCAGGAAAGTCCTCTTTCATTCTTAAGATGGCCCCTCCATGCAGGTAAGTTTAGAGCTGTGCCCCATCTCCCTTCCCCTCTCTATTTTATCTCTGTAGTCATCCTAGAGTATCAGAGAGGTCTACCCTTCCTATTCAAGGAAACAAAGTGAAATTAGAGTTTAAGAAACTCGTCCAAAATAACATCGTAAAGGTGCGGCAGGACCAGGGTTCAAACCTGTCTGTATGCATCTGTTAGACTAGTAGCCACATAAAGAAGTTCAAACAGTTTGTATTTTTTTAAAACCTGCCCCCCCCCCATATTTAGCAATAATGGTTAGAATATTCCCTTGGAAGAAAGTGAAACCAAATTTTGTAGCCACTCATGATTTTCATGGCATCTATATTCTTCATTTAGCAAAATAGGTTATTGACATACTAGTTACTAGGCTGAAATTTCCAAGTCCAAATTATCAGTTATTTGGGCCTCTCATTAAGCAGCCTAAAAGAAGTGAGACTCATGGTACCAGTGGGAAAATTAGTCCAAGGGGCATGCTCTGTTGCTCCTCCTCCTCCTGACAGTCCAGCTGACATCCTGTGCTAGGGGGCATTGCTAAAGTTGATGTACTCAGACTATACCAGCTCAGTCTCCTTATTGCATTGACTTCCAGTGACACATCCCTGCCATTTAATGATGGGACAGAAGGGAATAGCCTGATTTGAAACCTTGTGGCAGAGAGGCTCTCTGAATACAGGTTGGTGGGGAAGTGCTATAAATACAGAAGCAGTTGCACCTTTCTGGAAGACCATTTGAACAGACCTATTTACATGAAAGTCCTGGGAGCCTCATGGAGAAGAATTCATTCCATCAGGAAAGATAGCCAAAGCGGGAAAGGCTTCGTCCATCATGGTTGGAGGAAGTGGTTGATTTCAAGTACTGCCTCACATCTCCCACAGCTCATTTTTCAGCCCGCCGCACACCCTTTGGTTTAACCATCATATCTGGATTCTGGTGTTGAGCCCTGGCCAACCAGTGGAACCGCAGGTGAGCTAATTCTAATGAGGGAGTTTCTTTCTTACTTGGTCTCCATCCGTGGGATCGTCAGAACCCAAGCCTCCTCTGGACTCTGTTACTTTCTCGGAAATCACCAGCAGGTTCCTGGAAGGTCCCATCTGAACACAGAGGTGTCCTAAGAATAGACTGGGAGGTCTGTTATGTTTAAATCCAAGCTCTGCCATTTTCTACCTGTGGAACTTGAGTTAGTTACAGAGCCTTCATCTCCTAATGGGTAACAATGCTGATATTATTAGTGCCCATCTAATAGACACAGTAGGGCAGACATGGTAAGACCTAAAATTTAATGTCATAGATAAAGCAATAGAACAGGGCTTAAAAATAGCCACAAAGAATAATTATTATTACGGAAGTTCTCTACTGCCCTTCTGCAAAGTCTTTTGGAATATTTGGAGTTAAGGAGCCAAGTGGAGGAGGTGATTGACAATATCCGTGCGGGGGAGGGAGTGGAATTCTGGAGCCCCAGAGACTGCATGGGCGACAGAGAACTGTGCTCTGAGACCTGGCAGCCTCGACTGGGAAGAACAGAGGCCATCATCTGCTGCAGAGATGATCCTTTGCTCATTCATCAGTTCTTCAAGTAAGAAGGTGTAGTGTGTCTGTTTTGTGAGTGCCACTGAGCTCCAGGCTAGCTAGAGAAGCAACAGATAAGAGATATGCTCTTTATCCCAGTCATTCTTGCAAGCGCTCCTGTGAGTTCCTGGAAGACTTCCCCCAACCACCACCACCCCAGAACCTGCTGGTGATATTCTAGAGAGAGGCTAGAGTCCAGAAGGAAGCTGGGGTTCTGAGAACCCTGTGGGTGGAGGCTGAGAAAGAGGAAAGCTGCCCAATTACACTTCCAGTCCTCCTATGATCCCACAGGTTGGGAAAACAGCAGTCAGTAAGATGATATAACTGAGAAGACCGCTCAGCGTTTCTCCCTGTGGCAGCTCATCAAGTCCCAGACGACTGCTCTTATGTAACTGCTAAGCCATGCCTGACTCTGGAGACCAACAAGCTCCTCTGTCCGTGGGGTTCTCCAGGCAAGAATACTGGAGTGGGTTGCCGTGACCTTCTGCAGGGGATCTTCCCCACCCAGAGATTAAGCTCACGTCCCCTGCATTGTCGGGCAGTTTCTTTACCACCGAGCCGCCTAAGAAGCCCCCTGGAGGGTCACACCCCTAGGAAGTGCTCTTTGTATTGAACTTGTACTATTTTTAATATAAGAGTTTTACAAGGTAATAATCTACCCTCTTTTTATATTTGAATTAACTAGACTCTTAGGGAAGGAAATCTAAGGTCCAGAAGGTGAGTGGTGACTGTGAGTTTTGGCTTTCTCCGCAGCTACGCTATCCAAAACAACAGAAGCAGTCTCTTTGGAGTCAAGGCAGGAAACCACCCTGCTGAAGTTTACTCTAAGTGTCTTTTTTTCCTCTTTTGTTCTTCAAGATTTTCTAGTTCAAACTAACTACACTTGTCCACGCTTAGTTTTTTTTAATTTTTTTAATCTCCCTCATGCCCTTTATGGAAAGAAAGGTGTTATAAATAAATCACTCAGTATATATATATAATGTATGTATGCATATGTATTTACCTAATGATTCATGGTTTCAGTGAAAAACCCTTGACTACTGTCAACCACAAAGAGAAGTTCGGGAGTTTCACTTCCTGTTTTGTGAGCTTAAAGCATGAAGCAGTGGAAAGTAAGCTGCCCAGTGCTGGCTGAAAGCCCAGTTCAGGCCCTGCCACTTTACTCTGTGGCCTAATAAATTTACTTCCTTGAACTTCTGGTTTTTCACCAGTAAAATGGTGAAACTACTTCTTTACCTGCTACCCCACTTGCATCATAAGAAATTCAAATGTGGTTATAATTGTGTAAATATATTCTAAGATATAGGATATTATACAAATTTGAGACATTAGTATTACTACTGTTTTTCTTTTCTTTCTTTCTATTCCACCCTTCATCTCTCTTTAATCCAGAGAATTTAAATGGCTTCCAAGAACCTGTCCTAAGCCTAAATTTCCTCTTTCTTTCCCTTATGTTTCTGTCATATCATTTCTTTCCTTTCTTGCCTACCTCACCTGCAATTTTCACAATCCAAAGTAGGGAGAAGGGAATAGTGGGAATAAGGCCAGTGACAGCCTTGTATGCAGGAAATATTCCAATTGGGTTTTGATTTTCCTCCTTGGAGTCATATATGTGCTTGAACTAACACACAGATACAAAATGCAGACTTAAATATGGACATAACACACTTACATATGGCCTACACACACATAAAAACCCATGCCTTCAAGCATACTGAGAATCTAACACAGACATTTGTATATAAGAAATCACATGCCAACACTAGAGGGAGGACCTCAGTCAAACATCTGAGACATCTGCATCAATACAAACACACCCCTTGCAGTGTAATCACACTTTCTTCCAGGCAGGTATGATCACACAAACGTGAACCGCAACACGTAGAGGCATGTGGTCAAACACATATGCCCACTTTCACTGGCACATGAGACCTATAAACACACTCAGGCATGCTCAGCAACTTCAACCATGCTCCAACCAAAATACACCCTGGAACACTCAGTCACAAACACATTCCTAAATGTGGCCATATATTTCAGTTCTGACAACTGTATTTTCCAAACATCTCTGCCCTTTCTCTGAGCCATTCTGACGAAGCTGGATGAGTGTGCTTTTCTAAGAATTCACTGTAACATGACCCACAGTAACCTCAGGGACATTGTTTTTTCAAAAATGACATCTGCTTTTTCCTAAATGTGGTCGTGGAGTGACACCCAACAGGAAAGAGCAAGACAGGCTCCCCACCTCAAACCATTTCAAAATACCTTGAAAAATGCAATGGTCTATCAAATAAAACTCACTTGCTACATAAGAAACATTTTGCTGCAATTCTCATTATGTGGTCACCCCAGCTCTACCAGCCCACGTGTTTCTGGGGCCATCGAGAAAAACTGACCTCCTAAGGTCATCCCACCTCTTACCCTGCCTCTAACCTGAATTTCTCATTATGAGGCCAGGAAGTTGGACCTATTTCCCTCTATTACAATAAGTGCCACTTTCAACCGAATTATTTTGATACTACCTTCAGGATAGTCATAACTTACTAGGTAATAACTTCAGAATGACATCACGAGACAAAATGATAGACTGTATTTTATATATTTTCTCAAAAGATAGTAGTTAAATATGGATATGTCCAGCGTGTCTCTAACAGTTTTATTTATGGTATGGATTGATAGAGAAGACGTGGAAAATGAGAACTGGATTTATAAAGACAAAAATATATCAGGAACTAATAGTTAATAAATAGAACATGCTTAGGGATAACCAGGATGTTTGTGAATTGACGTAAAGTGGAGGGGAATCTGAATCAGGAGACTTCTGGGTCAAAAAGTAGAATTTAAACTGTATCCAATAGGAAAAGGAAAAGTAAGTCAAGACCTAGATCAATCGAAACGACCAAAACCACCTTGTTTTAATATAGCTAAAACATGTAACCTGACACGATTTCCACTCAAAATACTCAGGAGAAGTCTGTCCTTTATTATTCTCATGGAGGCCCAGTCTGTTAGTTCTAATTCAATTTGATGGGTAAGAGTTGGGTTGACTTTCCCTGCCCTGGACTCCTTAGCTGAGTTGGTTGAAACATCCCCCGGGAAGTTCTGTATTTTAGCACAGTATTTATTCCCTCTGCACTGTAAGCTCCGTGAGGTGGGCAGTCCTATAGGTCCCGTGTATCACTGGATCACCAGCCTTTGGCACACTGCTTGGTACACGGCGGCGTTTGGTACTTGTTAACTGAACACGCCCTGCCTCCCGCTGGGCAAGGAGCACATCAGGGGATCCTCCCCCTCAGGTGGAGGTTGTCGCTTCCTGTGGGTCGGTTTCTGCATCTGCTGTTCCTTCTGAACTCCGGGGTTTACCAGCCAGCAAGGCCTTTCTGAGTCTTCTCCAGAAGACATGCTGCCCCAGGACACTGTCCTCCCACTCCAGGTAGGTGTTCCTGCTCAGAAGGCGATAGAGCTCCACCTGCTGCCGCAGCAGAGACTTCTCCAGCTTCTGCAGGACGACGAAGATGATGCCGGCATGGCTGCTCAGAAACTGCCAGGTCTGGGCAATCTCATACTCGAAGATACACCATCGGCTCTGGATGAAGTGCTGGGACACCACGACAATGACCTTGCGGCTTTTGTGGAAACCTTCCTGGATGATGTTGGCAGCGATGGCCACCCCAGGAATAAAGTCCCTGTAGTGAAGGCAGAGCTGAAAGGGGGGCACGCCCTCCTCCAAGTTCTTCACCAGCTCATTCCGCACCCAGTCTTCATCCTGGCTCGAGTAGATTACAAAGGCATCATAGGTGCTTTCACCTCTGCTATACTTTTTGCAGCCAGCAAGAAGCATCAGGTGGAAATAGAACTTATAGACCAGGACTCCCACCACAGTTACCAGGAGTACAGTGACAACCGACACGCTAATGATCGTCTTGCTCATCTGACAAGTGGCATTCCTGAAACTAAGCACTGGCATGTCCTTCATATCTGGAGGCTCTGCACACATCATTTGCTCAGCTTCCACCAAGAGCTGCCTCTGGTCCTTGACCCACTGCAGGAAACTCTGGTGTTCACAAACACAAGCAAATTCATTCTTAGTAAGATTTAGCCAAGTGAGGTTCCTTGGCAAATTCTGTAGTTCTTGCTCCTTAGAAGCCATGATACGGTTGAAACTGCAGTCTAGGATCTGGAGCGAATGGAGCGGTTCATAAAGATGTGTATCCAATGACAAGAGTTTGTTGTGACTCATATTCAGCACCTGAAGGCTAGAGAGGAAGTGAAATGCTGTCTGGGATACCTGTTCCAGTTGACACTTAGAGAGGTCCAAGATGGTTAAGTTAGTCAGCTCTGTGAAGATATCAGGGAGCAAGTTGTTCTGAAAAGAGTTGCCTGCCATTTTCAAGGTTTGGAGACTGACTAAGCCAGTAAAGATGCCGTGGAAGACAATCCGGGTGTGGGTATAAGAAATATCAAGGTAACGGAGGTTTCTGAGTGATAGGAATGTTGAAAAAGCATTGATCTGTTTCAGAGTGGAATGCTGAAAATCCAGGTGTTCTAGTTGCTCTAAGCCCATGAAGTTTGAACTTAAGGTAATGACATCGTTGAAGCTCAGATCTAAATGCTTCAGTTTGGTTGTCCCAAAATCAGTGTGAGAACAGCAACCCTTGAAACTCAAGTGATTTCTTTTGAGATCTAGATACTGAAGGCTTGGTAGCTCAAACTCATTAAAACTGCTTATACCTTTGTTGTCTATGAAAACAAACTTTTTGAGAGAACTGAGCTTCAGTGCAGGAAACTTTTCAAAGTCACAGTTAATCATTTCTAAGTGTTGCCATCTAAAATCTTTAAGAAGGGCTTGTAGACTTCCTAAAGATATACTCAACAAAGAAATCCCAGAAACATTTGCCAAACAATTAAATAAGTCTGTATCATCCCCTGAGAATTCGCCCAAGTACGCTATCCGGAATTGTTCAATGGTCAGGTTGCATAGTCCCATCAGGAAAGATCTGTCAAATTTTTTCAACTTCCTTTCATTTTTAAATTCTCCCAAAACCAGCCGGTTGATTTTTAAACCAGCCAGACCTTGAATACAAGTTTTCATGACATCTGAACTGTTAAAATTACTTCGCAGAGTCAATCCATTGAGCTTAATTTCTTTAAAGGTACCTGGTTCAATAAAGTCTAAAGGGTTCAGGGACAAATCTAAAGAGAGGTTGAGTAGGGGCATTTGATGTAGAACTTTCACATCTTCATAATAAATATTTTGGATTTTGTTGTTAGAAAGATCCAAGTGCTCCAGGTTGGGCAGGTTAGAAAAATATTCAGGTAACTTGAAGGAATGGATAAAATTGTGAGCCACGTTAAGCTCTTTCAAGGTTTTGAGATGTCCAATGGGGAAGTCATTTAGAGATACTAGGTTTGTCTCCACGGCCACCAGCTTCTGTAGACTTGATAGCCCAGAAAAGGCTCCCCAGGCTAAACTCTGGATAGGGTTTCCCGTCAGTATCAAGGTGGAGAGGTGGTTTAGGCCCTGAAATGTGTCATCTTCAATAATCTTAATTTCACATCTACAAGAAAAAGAGATACAGATTATGTAATATTTCTGCTGAATAAAAGAAACAAAATGAAATATCAACTCAGTCATCTCGGTCGCCACACAGATATAACAATGCTATATAATGGTACATATCCAGCAAGGCAGATGAAACAAAGGAGCCCCACAGATTTGGTACTATAAAGCTAGCCCCCATGACAATCTTTTTTATCATACTAGACACACATGCTAAGCAGAGGCAGTCCATCCACAAGAGGAAAATCGGTTAAAGACGAATGATTGGGGCGCCTGAAGACTGAACCTCAGGTCTACTTTAGCCATTTCCTGAAACACATAATTGTGATTATGTATCCAACTGGTAAGATGAGATAGGTAGCTGTTAATTGTTAGGCATGATAAGTGACCACTGAATGCCAATTTCAAAGATATAGAAATTATACCTAAATGTCACAGATATCCTTACTATTCAAGAGAAGTTCCCCGTATTATAAGGGGGCTCAGAGGTAAAGAACACGCCTGCCATTGCAGGAGACCTGGTTTGGATCCCTGGGTCGGAAAGAGCCCCTGGAGAAGGACATAGCAAACCACTCAAGTGTTCTTGCCTGGGAAACCCCATGGACGGAGGAGCCTGGCAGTCCATGGAGTCGTAAAAACTTGCACATGACTCAGTGACTAAACAACAACAACATCAGTTCAGAGAAGCCGAGGATGAAGGTGAAGAGAAAATACAAGTTGGAAGCAGGAGATGTGAATGTGACTTTCTGGCCTGCTGTCAACAAGCCATGTGAATGTATACTTAAACTCCCCAAGCCTCTCTTTTCTCATCTACAAAAAGAAAAAAAAAAAAAAAGTATCAATAGATTTCCGTAGGGACAAAAGGCTGGCTGGTCTAGCATGAAGGCATCCATTGAAGATAAATACAGTTATTGACTGTGCAGGAAGACACTGTGAAATGAGGAGAAAAGGCAGAGCGTCTATTGCTCTTAATCTGTCCTTATCCTAATCTAGCATCTCCTCCCAACTAACCAAGAGAGGGAACTAGCCTCTCTCTCAGAACATATTTAAAGCTTCTGAGGGCAGTTCCTTGGGTACATGGTGGGTCGAAGATCAATTTCAAGGGACGCTGGTGAGAAACCATTTTTCTTTAAAATTAAAGAAGAATATTGGTCTGGCTACCTTGATTTGGTACAGTTCTTAACAAAATTCTTACTTAGAAAACTGAAATTTAGAAACTAATGGAATGCTCTAATAGTATTTTATATTAAAGTCTACTTTGCAAGGTCTTTAATATATATAACATGTTACTGTCAGTATCACAGTTAATCCTGTGGTTTAAGGTTCATCACTTATGTTTCACAGATATGAAACTGAGACTCAGGTCAGATGTAGGGACAAGCCTCCAGCCACGTGGCAGTGAATGTTGGAGAAGGACTCGGCTCAAGTATTCTGCCCTCCATAGGGCACCATGTCACTGCCTTCAAAAGGCTTGATTCCCAACTTTGTTGTAGTCTATCAATATCCCAGTTAGAGTATAAAACATCAGATGATCACTCTTCTACAGAAATATCTACCATCCTCATATCCTTTATTAAGAGTTTCTATAATAAAATGTCATATAGGTTTTTTCACTTTTCACAAACTCTTATAGAGGTTATAGTTCATTATGCATTACTTTTCTAAATAAAGTCCCTAATGATGAAAATATTTTAGGAATAGGATTCAGTTCTCCCCAAAATGATGATAATAACTTTACCTGTTCTAATGAACAATACACTTTGTTGTATCAGAAAAGCAAATACAGCAGATGTTTTCCTTTGATCATGCATCTTTCTCTCTGGCTTACTTGTATCTTCCTAACTCCCTCTCCTGTACCTCACTTTCAATATTCTAGACATTATCTGAATCCAACTCCATTCAAGAACTCTGTCTTAATTAATCACTGCATGTATGTGTTAGTCACCCAGTCGTGTCCAGCTCTTTGCAACCCCATGGATTATGGCCAGCCAGGCTCCTCTGTCCATGAGGATTCTCCAGGCAAGAACACTGGAGTGGGTTGCCATGCCCCAACCCCCTCCCTCCCCACCCTGGAGGACATTCCCAGCCAAGGGATTGAACCCAGTTTTCCTGCATTGCAAGTGGATTCTTTACCCCCTGAGCCACCAGGGAAATCCGGTGGCTTTCTGCATAGAAGGCCCCTTTTCTCTACAGCACAATGTATTGCCTCTAGTTTTCAAATAGCTTATCACCTACTCTTATATATTACTATCTTTATCTCAGGTTCAAAATCCAAAATCAGAATCAAGTAACATGTATTAAATGCCTACTATGTGCCCAGCACCGTGCTCAGGTTTTAAACATATTAATTTTTTTAAGTGGATATGCCCTCCTTAATAGCTAGGGTTTTGTGTTATATGTCAACATATTCTTATTTCCTAGCAGAGTGAACAACAAGCATATAGCAGCCACAAGAATATAGCAGCAAATAGTCAATAAATATTTGCTGATGAAAGAGTTCAAGTCAATTTAGTCCCCTGACTTAAGAGAAAATCAGAGACAGAACTTTCCTCAGAAACTGTCTCACCCAACTGCTTTCACAAATGAAAAAGCTGAGGCCTGGAGAAGGGAGATAACTTGCCCAAAGTTATAGAACAAGTGAGATGTCTGTTGAGTGGATAATTAAGTGAATGAAACGAAACCTCATGAATCAGGCTTTCTGACTTGAGAATGAAATGACAATGCCATGAACATTTCTCCTTGTATAGTGGTAGAACTCATGCATTACCTGGATAAATCCAGCACTTGCAGCTCTGGGAAGCTGGAGAAGTTATGGCTGCCTAAATGTCTCAGGTAGTTAAAGCTCAGGTCCAGCATCTTGGTTGTTATGGGGATGTTGTCAGGGATTTTGTAGAGATTCAGCTCCATGCATTGGTAACTAATGTTAGGAACCACCTGAAATGATTAGATATTAGATGCAATGTCTTCCTGCATGCACCTTAGCAGACTTCCCAGCAACTCTCCTCTCCTAGACTAAAGCCTTGGAGGCTACTGGGACAAGCAAAGAGACCAGTCAACCTTATTTCAACCATCCATCCATCCAGTCATCCATCACCTGATCATCCGTCCATTCATCCACTCATCCCTTCATTTAGCCACTCTCTTCATTCTTAAAAAGGCCTTACTCTAGATTAGGAAGGGAAAAGCACCGACCCGATGATTAACCTTTACTCTCTCAATGGCAGAATTCAGCGAGAAGCAATGGAATCTCATGGTGAAGATCTGAAGCACTGGAGTCCAAAAGCTCTAAATGCCACCCTAGCTCTTCCCTACAATTTGCAGGAAGGCATTGTGTTGTTGCTATTGTTTTTCTAAATATACCTCTCATTGTTTACAAGCTTAAAGAGACTTCCAGTCGAGTCTTCAGCCCTTCCTTGGTCATAGCCCAGTTTTTGCCAGTTTTATTCTTTCCTTTGGATCACTCATAGCTCAGTTGGTAAAGAATCAGCCTGCATTGCAGTAGACTCCAGTTCAATTCCTGGGTCAGGAAGGTCTGCTGGAGAAGGGCTAGGCTACCCACTCCAGTGTTCTTGGGCTTCCCTTGTGGCTCAGCTGGTAAAGAATCCGCCTGCAGTGTGGGAGACCTGGGTTCAATCCCTGGGTTGGGAAGATCCCCTGGAGAAGGGAAAGGCTACCGACTCCAGTATTCTGGCCTGGAGAATTCTGGGTCACAAAAAGTCAGACACAACTGAACAAATTTCACTTTCACTTGGATCACTGACCGTGCGGAAACCTAACACTTGATACTGCCTTGGTTCCTAAGCTGATATCGATCACATTTTCCCAAATTCTTTGTAAGCCTTGTTCTCCAACTTCCCATTTAGTTTCCTTATTCTCTGATTCTTCAACAAAATTCTTTGCTTAAGCTAGCTAATTTTGGTTTTCAGTTTAAAACCCATAGAATCTGTTAACAGGATTAATGAGATAAGGTTTTTAAAGAGATTATCTCAAAGCCTATTACAGTGTAAATGATCAATACATTGTTAACATGTATTATTATTGGCTATTACTAATTCTCCACTATATGAGGCTTATGTCTTATATGTTACATATTTGAATTTAATCTTCAAATAAACCTTTTAAAGAATAAGAATTCAGCAAGATGAAGTAATATGTGTAAAGCCTCACAGGCCACAGTGCAGCCCTTTTACCTTATTCACTCGATCCTGAAATGTTATTCCTCATAGCATCCTCACTGTCCATACTGTCTAATAGAGAATGGGGCCAGAGTCATCCCTTACCCTCCTTTATTCTCCTTCATGGGAGACATCACTATCTAACCTGATGCCTTCTGCGTGGTTGTCGCATACAGACATCACTATCTAACCTGATGCCTTCTGCGTGTTTGTTTCCCTCTCTAGATTGTAAACTTTGAGAATCTAGCTGTCTGTTATGCCCCCAGCACTCAGAATGATGCCCAGAAAATGGATAATGCTCAATAAATATTTGTTGAAACAAATGAATGGATAACTGATTCCATGGAAGTTTATTCAAATCCCTACTGCAGGCATTTGCTATTAAGTGTTGTGGCTTTACCACAAAGACCAGTGTGATATGGCTCCAGACTTCCATTAGCTCCCCATCTAGAGTAAGGGTTATGGTAGGAGCACAACTCCTTCCTGAAAAGGGTCTTAAACCAGGCTTGGAAAATGTTCCCTTTGGTTCAGAAAAGGTAGGTATCAATCCTGGATTCCGAGACTATAGATTGTATAGAAGGCTTCCAAGAAAGAGAAAATTTCAAGGCAAATCTGGAAGGATAAGTGAGATTTGGATATGTGGAAAGAGGAAGGAGGAGGGAAGAGAGGAGTACAGAGGGGCGGAAAACGAGTCCCGCGTAGACGAGTGTGGCGGGGATGTGAAACCTAAACCAGACGGGAAGCCGGAGCCAGGTCCAGGGGCCCGATACTCTGTCCTGCGCCAGCACTTTTAAGTCGTTTGACATGTTCACACTGAGCAACCACATGCGCTAGGCACTGGGACATAGTGATAAGTAAAACCAGCAATGATCTTGCCCTTTTACAAATACCATTTCAACATAAAGACAAATAATGAACATAAATGCATGTATTCACACACCATGTGTGTTTTATATACGCATATGTGTGGGCGTCCCTGCTGGCTCAGTTAGTTAAGAAACAGCCTGCGCTGCAGGAGATCCAGGTTCTAGCTCTGGGTGGGAGAGATCCTCTGGAGAAGGAAGTGGCAAGCCCCTCCAATATTCTTGCCTGGAAAATCCCGTAGACAGAGACGGGTGGACTGCGGTCTATGGGGTTGCAAAGAGTTGGACACACCTGAGCGTACACACACTCACACACTCACACACACATACACATGTGTATATATACACACACAATGGCATGCTATTAAAAACAGAAAGTAAAGCAGTAGGACTTCCCTGGTGGGCCAGTGGCTGGACTTCGTGTTCCCAATGCAAGGGGCCTGGATTCAACCCCTGGTCAGAGAACTAGATCCCAGGTACTGCAACGAAGAGTTTGCAAGCCACAACTAAAAAAAATCCTGAATGCCGCAACAAAGACCCAGTGCAGCCAAATAAGCAAATAAATATTTTTTAAACTAATAAAAACAAAGTAGATAGGACATTAAAGGCAAATACAGGGAGTGAGGAGCTTTATATGAGGCAATCAAGGAAGGCTTCCCAGAGGAGGTAACATTTAAGCAGAAATTTGAATAAAGTGAGGGATTAAATTATGAACATATCTAGGGCTGTATTGTCCAATTTGGTAACCACAAGCCACACACAGCTATTAAGTATGAGAAATGTGGATAGTTTAATATAATAAATGCAAAAGAAATGCTATAACATATGCTAAACTCAAGGACTTAGTACCAAAGAAAAACATAAAATATCTTGTTAATAGTCTAGTATATATTACAGTTTGAAATAGTATTTTTAATAAACAAAGTTAAATAAAAATAGTACTAAAATTAAATTCATCTACTTTTAATTTTTTTAATATGGCTGCTAGAACATAGTTTAAAGCATCGTTTTAAATTTAGTTAGTTAAAATTACGTTAATGTGGTTAAATAAAATTTCAGTTGAATTTAGTTAAATGTATTATTTAAATTTAAATAACTCCATGTGACCCATTGAACAGCACTGATCTAGGGGGAAAAGCGTTCTAGCTAGGGGAAATCGTGAGTGCAAAGAACCCCATGGTAGGAAAAGGTCCCTGACAGTGATGGAGAATTATTAAAAGCTTTTAAGGACAGTAATATCTTAGAGTTGAACCTCAAAAAACAACAACAACAAATAAACAGCAGATGAATATGAGCAGGTTAGATTAAAGGAAGCAGGCCGTGGGGTCAGGAGACGGGTCACTGCCCAAGCGTCAAGGCCAGGGGACCTGGGGATCTGCCCTAGGGTGGCAGTGAGGTGGTGGACAGAGGGTCCCCTCAAGTTTCGGAAAATGAGAGCATCTGGGGCACGGGGAAGGAGAGGCGCCAGGAGAAGCTGTGGTTTCATCCTGGGGTGACCGGAACTGGAGGCTCTATACCCAGTGACTGAACAGCAGGAGAGACAGGAGGACAGTGAGCCGGGTGTGGGCAGGGAGTGGCGGGGACAGAGGACTTGGGAAGACAGGTTTGTCTCTGTTACACAGTAAAGTACACGATCTCCCCCATGTCCTCAATGTCAGGACTCTGACTGGTTATGCTTTTCTTGAGTTTCTGCCACACCCTAAATCCCAGGACATTTCCGTGGCTGTTTGCTGCTGCCGCGGGCTTCCAAAGCAATAGTAAGGTCCATGCAGGGGAAAAAACAGGAGACCCTTTCTGAATGAGATTACAGACCAGCTGACTGGCGTTTCACAAAGAAAGCATTCCATTAGCTGATATTGCATCTTTCCCTGTCTCTTATTCTTCTCTTTTACTCTGTCTCTGTCTTTATCTCTCTGTCTCTCTTTTTCTTTTCATTTTTTGGACAGAACTAGACTAGATTTAGAAATCTGAAATCTACATAGAAACTTCTTTCTATTAAGAGACCAAAAAAAAAAAAAAAAAAAACCATATCTTCCTGATAGTGAAAGGGGCAAAGCAACAGCCCAAAACAATGTACAAACCACCGGCGGAAAGGAATGACAGGAAGCAGGCTTCTTACAACTTTCTATTAAAGTCTACGGTTCTTTTATTAATGTAAAAACTTGTCTCAGAGAGGTTTAATGACTTCTTCAAAGTCACAGAGCCCAGATGTGGAACAATAGTGATTCTAAGCAGGTCTGTCTCGACTAAAGTTCCTATGTAATTCCTAAGTGGGGCACAATGCCCCAGGCTGCCTGTTAATGCCCTGTAACCATGAATCATTTGATTCCTGTGGTTTCTTACTTTAAAGTAATTTGACATCTGTTTGCAAATGAACCTAACCCAGGCCCAGCACAGGGAAAGCGAGCAGAGAGCAGTTTTTCAGAAGCAAGGCCAAGCTCAGGGAAGCCGAGCTGACTCCAACCACGTACCTGTATGCAAGGGTCCCAGCTCTCGGATCTCAGGCAGGAGAGGAGGGCCGTGGCTGGGATCAGAGCCGCAGCCAGGCGGGCACGAGCCATCATCCCGGCATCTTCTGTGACCAGAAGTGGCTCTGTGAACGCATGACCCTGTCTGTGCCGGCCAGGGCAGCCTCCGAGGCACCGCACTGCCTTCTCTGCTCTGTGCCCCAGGGCACTGCCGCTATTCAAAGCAGTGCTGGGTTGGGAGGAGAGGAAGTGAGAGTGGCAGCCTTCGCGTTCCGGACTTTTGTTTCTCTAATATTTATCTCCTCTGCCACCGGAGGGGAAGTTAGAAGAAGAAGAAGAAGAAAACGTCTGCAGGCCAGGGGCTGAAGTAACAACAAGAGGAAGCTGGCTTTTATCCCAGGAAGTCATCTGACCCCAGGGTTAGTGAATTTAGGAAAGTAATCAGACGGGTCAAACAGCCTGTGTGACTAACTACCTAGGACTGTGGCTTTCTGCTTTCCTTTTGTAGTGGAAACTTAACTGTTAAATGCTCATTTCCTAGGTCAGCCAGAACAAAATACCCTGGACTAGGTGACTTAAACAGACATTCATTTTCTCACGACCTGCTGGAGGCTAGACGTCTGAGCTCAAGGAATCAGCAGGCTTGATTTTTCAGGCTCTCCCCTGGCTTGTAGACAGCTGTCTTCTCCCTGTGCCTTCACGTCATCTTCTCTCTGCGTGCGCTGGGTCTTAATTTCCTTTTCTTATAAGCACACAAGTCATAATGAGTTAGGGGCACCCTAATCTATAACCTCATGATCTCAGTTCAGCTCAGTCGCTTAATCCTGTCCGACCCTTTGCGACCCAGTGGACTGCAGCACGCCAGGCCTCCCTGTCCACCACCGACTCCTGGAGTTTACTCAGACTCATGTCCATCGAGTTGGTGATGCCATCCAGCCATCTCATCCTCTGTCGTCCCCTTCTCCTCCTGCCCCCAATCCCGCCCAGCATCAGGGTCTTTTCCAACGAGTCAGCTCTTCGCATGAGGTGGCCAAAGTACTGGAGTTTCAGCTTCGGCATCAGTCCTTCCAATGAACACCCAGGACTGATCTCCTTTAGGATGGACTGGTTGGATCTCCTTGCAGTCCAAGGGACTCTCAAGAGTCTTCTCCAACACCACAGTTCAAAAGAATCAATTTTTTGGCGCTCAGCTTTCTTCACAGTCCAACTCTCACATCCATACATGACCACTGGAAAAACCATAGCCTNCAGGCCAGGATACTGGAGTGGGTAGCCTTTCCCTTCTCCAGGGGATCTTCCCAACCCAGGGATCGAACCCAGGTCTCCCGCATTGCAGGCAGATTCTTTACCAGCTGAGCCACAAGGGAAGCCCCCAAAATATGAATAAAATGAGGATAATAATAAGTACCTCAAAGTATTCTTATAGGATTAAATAAGGTGGGTTGGGTTGAAGAATCAAATAAATATACCAAAATTCAAATCTACACTAGGGTGATCTGTGGCCATGTAGCATCATTGGTCAAGTCACTTAAACTAATGAGACTTAATAATTCTAATCACAACAGAAGCTCACATTTATGAAATTCATAGGAAGGCCTTGTGATAGTCCAAAAAATGGAAGCCGCTAAGCATTAGATTTTTTTAAAACTGGAAATAATCACATTTGTCTTACATGATGGAATTAAATTAGTTTACAGGAAATGCCTACTCTAGTGCATCGTTCATCAGGATATTCCATAACTTGATAACTATTAAGGTGATTAAAAATATGAATAAAATAAGGATAATAATATGTACCTTGAAGTGTTGTTATGGGATTAAATAAAGTAGAATTTGTAAAGCTTTGAGGACAGTGTCTAGAGTATAGGAAGTGCAGTGTAAGTTTCTGTTAAACAAAAACGTAGTTTATATGCATATGATACCACTCTAATGGCAGAAAGTGAAGAGGAACTAAACAGCCTCTTGATGAGGGTGAAAGAGGAGAGTTGAAAAATCTGGCTTGAAGCTCAACATTTAAAAATCTAAAATTATAGCATCTGGTCCCATCTCTTTATGGCAAATAGAAGGGGAAAAATTGGAAGCAGTGACAGATTTTATTTTGGGGGCTCCAAAATCACTACAGCCATGAAATTTAAAAATGTTTGCTCCTTGGAAGGAAAGCTGTGACAAACCTAGACAGTGTATTAAGAAGCAGAGACATCACTTTGTTGACAAAGGTTCATGTAATCAAAGCTGTGGTTTTTCTCGTAGTCATGTATGAATATGAGAGTTGGACCATAAAAAAGGCTGAGTGTCAAAAAGTTGGTGCTTTGAATTGTGGTGCTGGAGAAGATTCTTGTGAGCCCCTTGGACAGCAAGGAGATCAAGGCAGTCAATCCTAAAGGAAATCAGTCCTGAACATTCATTGGAAGGACTGGTGCTGAAGCTGAAGCTGATACTTCGACCACCTGATGCACAGTGCTAACTCACTGGAAAAGTCCCTGATGCTGGGAAAGATTGAAGGCAAGAGGAGAAGGGGGAGGCAGAGGATGAGATGATTAGATAGCATCACTGACCCAGTGGACATGGATCTTGGCACCTCCAGGAGATGGTGAAGGACAGGGGAGCCTGCTGTGCTGCAGTCCACAGGGTTGCAAAGAGTCAGACAGGACTTAGCGACTGAACAACAACAAAAACTTACTATTATTGTATCCTAAATTTTAATAGCTCTACCCAAGAAAGCACCAAAGCACCTCAAATCCATCTCAAATCGAGCTGTGCGGGAGCCTGTCATAGGGGACACAGGACAAACTCTTGCAGACTTCTTCAACATCGCTGCTGTAAAATTAGGCTAAAAATAGTGCCCCTGTCAGAATGTCACTTTATGGATTAATGAAGCTTTCCCAACGACTCAGCCAGTAACGAATCCGCCTACAACGCAGGAGATGCAGGAGACACGGGTTCTGTCACTGGCTTGGGAAGATCCCCTGAAGTAGAAAATGGAAACTCATTCCAGTATTCTTGCCGAAAAATTCCCATGAACAGAGGAGCCTGGTGGGCTACAGTCCAAAGGACTGCAGACAGTCAGATAGAACTAACCACAGACACACACATACACAATGATCTTAAAGCAGTACTGGGCACAGAATGTGTGCTCAATAAATTTTAGTTCCCTCGACAGTTAGCAACATTTTCATTCCATAGTCATCCAAGATGAAAATATTTTTGACTTCCTCATTTCTCTTACTAAATGTGTATTAACTTTCGTATTTTCTGGATTCTTGATGCTCTGGCATCGGGGGCCTTGCTGATGGAGATAGACTGATCTAGTCATTTCTTAGAGATACCAAATGATTTTCCGTGGAGCATAACTTTCATATGCAAACTAACCAAACCAGAACCCATACTCTGAGACTCTGCCTCTATCTTGCTTTTGTACTCTAGAAGGCAATGTTCTTCTGCCTTTATCATCACAGGGCCAGGTACCCTAGACACCCAGACAACTAGAGAAAGCCCTGATACGCGAGAGTGTGCTGAACTTACTCAAACTAGCCGATCCTAAGCCTGCTTACCCTGCACCTTCTTACATCTCCCACAGAAGCCACAGTTAAGGCCGTTGCCCATGCCGTCTCCTCGCCCCTTCTGCCTCCTGGCAGACTTGGTGCTTCCCCGCGTGGCTCTGCGGGGTGTCTCCTGCCCCCTCCTCTTGGAAAATGTGAGTAACAAGCTGTCTTTTCAATGACAGTTGTCTCCTGATCTGTCTGCCTCACAACACCTGCATAATAGTCAAAGTAACATTTTGAAACAAAATATTCTGCCAAGTCCTGGAGGATTTATCTGTAAAATAACTCTAAAACATCAGTCTTCATTTCTATTAGCATGGTCAGTGAGCACATCTCTTGGCCCAGAGTATTGCAATATACTCTTCAAGGGTCTCCCAGGTTCCAGATATACCTCTTTCAAAGTTTCAACTTTTCCAACCCATCTTTTATCCCCAAATCAAAACATGATTGAAAGTAAATGAAAATGAAAGTAAAACTATCTCATGCCATGTCAGTAATATTCTGAGGTTGTGTATTGCCTCAAACTTAAGCATTTTGGTATACCCCCAACTACATGTGTGTGCATGCATGCACGTGCACGCACGCACACACACACACACACACACACACACACACACACAGAGTCACCTGTGGTCCTGCTCCACAGCACCAATTATGTTCTATCCTGTGGAAAGGGAACACAAATCTCTGTTGATCAGGGGGTTATCTGTGCCACAACTTTAGTATCCTGTAAAATCCATCTCATGATGATTACAGCAAAGTAACAAGAGAGACAGTGCAACATAGCCCAGCTCAGAGGAGAAAGCCCCTCGTAGTTTGGCAAGTCTAAGTACCAAATTTGATTCCACCCAACAAGTCAAGGTTTCACATGTTGCTGCTGCTAAGTCACTTCAATCGTGTCCGACTCTGTGCGACCCCATAGACGGCAGCCCACCAGGCTACCCCATCCCTGGGATTCTCCAGGCAAGAACACTGGAGTGGGTTGCCATTTCCTTCTCCAATGCATGAAAGTGAAAAGTGAAAGTGAAGTCGCTCAGTCGTGTCCGACTCCTAGCGACCTCATGGACTGCAGCCTACCAGGCTCCTCCATCCATGGGATTTTCCAGGCAAGAGGACTGGAGTGGGGTGCCATTGCCTTCTCCTTTCACATGTTAACACCCCTCAAATCATAATATATCTCACAATTCACAATATATTGCAATGATTATTGGCAGAACATTTTTTTTTCTTTCCTGGTGGCAAATAAGGTAATGGTACATCTAATAATCTTTGATACTTTATATTCCATAAGGAACAGTTTTTCAGTAAGGAGACAAAAAAGAAAAAACAGCAACACACACAAACACAGGCGCTCTGTTCAAGTAAATAAAGAAAACAAATGGTTAGACAGAGATTAAAGAGATGCGTTTCTTAAGCACTCCTTAGAGCTGTACTAGACTAATAGGTGTTTTCATCTGCAAGCAATAGAGGCCTCCGTGGCTCCCACTAACCTTTCTGCCCCATGGTGACTCTCTTGTATCCTTGGACACCCATTACCAGTCCTGTGCCCGTTGGAGTGCCGTGGAGGCACGCTTCTGGGGTCTGTAGGATGGAAAACACTGCTTTTAAGGAGACGCATGAAGCGTATTTCTCCTGGCGCCCAGCGACCCAGTTCCTGTTTCTAGTGCTGGATCTTCACATCTCAGTGCTTTCCTCCCCAACACCCCTCCTGTCGGGGGTGAGTGAGTGTGCCTCATGGGGGCTGTCAAGGAAAACAGCCTAAATAGTCCCTTCTCCTCCCCAGCTTGAAGTATCCATGGCATGGCCTATGTTATTTTAAAAGTTACATTGAATTTCTTATCTCTGTACTGTCTGCCTCTATCACTAGTTATGTAAACTCCATGAGGGTAGAGGCTTTGTCCAGTGTTCATATATATTCAGTGCATGAGTATATACTCAATGAGTAATTAGTAAATGAATTAAATGAACAGTATATTTGAATTTGTTTTTAATAAGCAGCTGGCGTTTTAGAGAATTTGTC